GGCGGGCGTGGCTGCAGGCTCGCCTGCCGCACTGTGCGCGGTCGCGGCCGGCACCGCCTCCGAAAGCGAGCGCGGCGTCGCTGGAATGAGCGTCAAGGGCGAGGGCGAGAGCCACCGTGGCGCCGCGGCCAGTGACGGCAGCGGCGGAAGGAGACGCGCTGCTGCGGTCATCGAGAACGGGGACGGCCGCGCTGGCGCGGCCGAGGGCGGAAGCACGGCCGCGGCCGGTGAGGGCGAGGGCGCCGCCGGTGCGCGGGCCGTCGTCCTTGCCGGCGGCGGCGACCGCTCCTCATACTCGTAATCCTCGTCATCACTGCTGAGCGCCGCGACGCCCTCGGACCCGGCCGCAGGGCCTGGCGCATCGACCAGCGCCTCGACCTGGCCGGCTGTGTAGCGCGGCGCGGCGGCGCGGCGGCCGACGGTCGGGAGGGGCGTCACGCCAAGCGGCCACTCGTCGCCGGCCTAGGGGCGGCAGGGGCGCAGGAGGGGGGCGGGGGCGGGCGGCACAATGGGCAGGCAGCCAGGGTGGGATCTTGCGCACGGAAACACAAGGGGCGGTTTGCACGCACGCCTTTCATGGTAATTCAAGCTCCAGCCGGTCGGCCAAGTGCGGCGAGCTCGCGGGCCTCCCCCCACCTGCGCCGCCGCCACCTCGCCGCCGGAGGTGGGCTGGATGGCTGCGTAGGCGGCGTGGGCGGCTTGCTGGGCGAGGTCGGGCAGGGACTCGTAGCCGCTGCATGTGGGTGCGTTGGGTGGAGCCTGGCAGAGTGAGTGCATCACAGCACCTGGCATGGATGCAAGTTTGTATTGTGCATCATGCACAGGCGTGTGCGGTTGTGGATGAGTTCGTGAGATTGTCCACACAAACACCTGCGAATACATGTTTATGTTTGTATGCGCGTGTGCGCGCGCATGTGTGTGTGTGTCATGCGGGAGCGGCGGACAAAGTGCCAACCAGGCTGGAGGGCGGGAGCCCTGAGCTCTCACTTGGTGGCTGCGGCCAGCTTGTCATACAGCTGCTCCACAATGGCCTCAGCAAGCACCTCGGTGTTGTTGACGCTGTTGCCGCAGGGCGTCTGTTTCTGAGGCCCGGCCGGCGCGGCGGGCGAGGGGGCCGGGGACGCCAAGGGCTTGGCCGGCGCGGCGGGCGAGGTCGAGGGAGGCGGCGAGGGCTTGGCCGGCGCGGCGGGCGAGGGCGAGGGCTTGACCGGGGCGGCGGGGGTGGGAGACGGCTTGGCCGGAGTGGCGGGTGTCGGCGAGGGAGACGGCGAGGGTTTGACAGGATTTGTAGGGGACGGCGAGGGCTGCGCCGGCGCGGCAAGCTTTGGCGAGAGCTTGGCCGGTGCGGTGGGCGAGGGCGACGGCGACTGCGACGGCGACGGCGAGGGCTTCACTGGAGTCGCGGGCGACTGCGCCGGCTGCGCCGGCGCGGCGGGCGGCGGCGAGGGCAGGGCAGGTGTCGCGGGCTCGGGCTCGGGCTCAAGCGGCGCCGCAGGGGCGGCGTAGCGGGGCCCTACATAGTCGCTGTGGTAAATGGGGGTGCCCGCAGCGGACTTGTAGGCGCAATTGCTGCACATGGATGAGGCGCAGGTTGTGGGGGAGGTCAGGCGCAGGCCAGGGTCTGCCTGGCGGCATCGCATGGCTGACTGGCTCACAGCATGAGGCAAAACGCTAATGGACACGCATGCATGCTGCTTCATGCCCCTGCATGCGCTGCTATGCACCCGCGTGGCTTTGTGCGCCAAACAGCGCCATCCTCCTCGCACCATGCAAGTCTGCTCGCCTCACTTCCAGCTTGCCACGCCCAGGCCCCCAACATTCCCTTCCCCACCCACCGGTGGCGTTCCCAGCCCCAGAGCCTGTTGAGCTTGTCGCGCGCCGAGTTCGACGCCGCCAGCGCAGCCGAGCAGCGGGGCGCGTCGACCCAATCGAGGCGCGTGGGCATGCGAGAAATGGAGGCGGGCTGCAGCTGGTCGTCCTTGTAGGCGCAGAGCCTGCTGCTCTCCCAGCCCCAAGTCTTGAACATAGAGTCCTAAGGGTTCAGGTTGACAGGGGAGCGTCAGACACGATGAGATGAAGGCCTTGCGGCCAGCAAGGGCGGCGCATGGAGCATGAGGTGACGCATGAGCGCACAGAGTCACAATGCAGCCCATGCGGTGCGCAGAAAGCCGAGCACCAGAGCGCAGCGGGCGGCGGGAGGAGCGCTCACCGTGACAGAGTCGGGGGCGAAGGGGTCGCTCTTGCAGGCGGGCGTCAGGACCCAGCTGCCGGGCTCGTAGCCAAGGTAGAAGACCGGCCGCGAGCCCATGCGGAACGCACAGCTGCGCCCATTCTCCCAGCCCCAGAGGCGCCCCTCGCTGTCGGGCGACGCCGTGCTCGAGGTGGGCCGCCAGTTGCAGGGGGTGGCCTCAAAGAACCCAGGGGCGAGGAGGCGACGCGCGGAGAACCCGGGGGCGCTGAGCAGCGCACGGGCGCCTGCGGGGCCGTGGTATGAAACGGGCGCATTAAGATGCCAGGTGGGCGGCGCATGGCCCAGAGGGCTGGACAGCTCATGCGGTATGGCATGCTGAGGTTCATCGCAGCAATCGGCCATGAGCGGCCTCCACACCAGCCGTGTTTAAGCGGGCGGACACCTGTGTTCTCACCTGTGCGCCACACAGGCGAGGTGGCTGCATCTGATGACGCCCAACAGCATGTTGCTAGCACCGCAGCCAGCAACAGCAAGCGCGCTGCTGCGGCGCAGGGCGCCATGGGGCTGGCCGTCGAGCCTGCAAGTGCATGGTGCGCGGCCGATCGAAAGCGGGTGAGAACCGGCAGAGCAGCACGCTGACACAAGGATGGCGCATGCCACGCCGGGGCTGACTTCAGCTCTATATCACTCCCATACAATCCATGGCCTCTACGTATGTGCGCTCAAGCTCGTGCTGTCATGCTTCTCGGAAGCCCGGTGTGCGTTGGGTCTGTGCATCCATACCACAGCTATAGGTGTGATGCTAACCACCTGGTTAATCAATCTGAGTGAAGTCGCAGGCGGTGGCCTAGATCAGCTGGGATCGCTCAAGTTCAAAATGCAGAGAGCGAATATCACCGAGATACAGCGCTAGAAAATATGCAAGCTACCTCAATGATGTCCAGGTCATTATGACTTCCCGGCGGCAATGCAGCTGTGGTACTTGGGGAGTAGCTGAGCAGCTGCTCACAGTTCTCGGGGCGAAAGTTCGCGTCGAGGAGGGGGCGCGCGGGGCCGGCGGGAGGCGCAAATAGGTTGCAAGGGGCGTTTGATTGCCGCGGGCAGGGTCCAAGAGGGCTCTGGCAGCCTGAGCAGCGCGCGTGAGGCGTACACACGCAATCATCATTTCAGTGGCCATCGAATAACACGATTGCTCCCACCTTGCTAGTGGCTGCGGCACACAACACCAATTATTCACTACCGTTATTTATTGTCTGTCCTGATCATAGCTGTGCAAGTCATGATTCTATGCGGGACAGCTGCACGTTGCCAACTGTTTTGCTTTGAGCTGGAGTGAGGGGGAGGGGGCGTACAGATGAGAGTGGTGGGGTCAGGACAGGGAGGCGACGCGAGCGGCATTGCTGTGTTACAAGGCAAATGGGGCCAGGCCCATGTTCACCAAGCACCTACAACCACAGGGCCTGCTGCTGATGGCTGCACGTGGGTTGCTGCCGTCCTTCCATGCGAGAAACCAGCAGCAGTGTCGTTCTACTCTGCACTGACTGTTTGAACGTGACGGAAGAGCTCAAAATTCCGCTCCTTACACAGTCTAATACAGTCTCTGAATGAGGACGTCACATGGGTTCTTGACACAGGGGAACAAAATTAGTGAAAAAAGAAGTCACGTGTACGCGTTTGTTTTGCCATATTGTGCACGGATCCCACCGCATTGAAAGTCTTGCCCAGTGCACAACGTACAGTCACAACATGCAGAGATAAACACTTGCGGCAGCGACATGACATGGCGCGCCAATAACCTCAGCCGGTTCCGGGGCCCAGCAGCCAGCAACCGCCTTTGTGTGTATGCGTGTCATCCGCCCTGCAACGCAAGCCCCCAGGTGGACACCTGCATGGAGCGCGCCGCAGCGACCGCGCCGTCATCTGCCCTTCATGAACCCACGATTGACGAAGAAGGCGGGCGGGCGTTGCCGGAGCTGGTGGTAGAGGACGACGCCGGTGATGTAGGTCGCGACGATGCCCAGGTAGAACGCGGGGCTCGCCAGCAGCGTGTCCCCCCCTTGCGACGCCGCGTACCCGCCGGCGGGCGGCGTCACGGCGGCGTCTGCCAGCGGCGGGGTGATTGGCAGCGCCGGGTTGACGGGCAGCACCACCGGCGCGGCGC